CGATTAGTCGACTAATCGAAAAAATAATCGGTGATTAATCGATTATAAAAATAATCGTTTGTGGCAGCCCTACTGCCAAATGGGACATAGTAAACCATTTTACTGTTCCTTTAAAATCATAATTTTTTGAGTCAAAACAGTAGATATGCTGTATATTTATGACTCAGTCATATACGCCAAGTGAGGGTGTTGTAAGATAAGGTGTGTGTTGTGTTTTTTAAAAATATGCACAGAAAAAGAGCGGCCAAAAAAAATAAACATTTTTTTATCTGGCAACCCTGAGGCGGGTCTCACTCATGCAGCAGCATCATGGTCACAGTTCTGTCTGAAACTGGTGAATAAACTAATGTTTGTTTGGACCTAGGATTATTTTTGTCTTGTTTCCTACAMGCTACAAAGGGTGAGTAACTGAAAAAACACTCTGCTGTCTGTAATTTATTGTAATTGTTGTTAGATTAGAAGAAACTTTTGCTGTGCCCCGGCTGTTTGAGCATGCGTGTTTTCACAGCTGCGGGGTGCTCACCTCCGTGGTGGGTGTTACTGAAACGTTCCACTGTAAGCAGTCTTGCAGACAGGCAAGCATTTTGAAATTGAGCAATACTTAGATGATGGTCCATATAGCTGTTGTGTGCGTGACGTTCACTAAAAAACAAATAACTCCCTAATTGGAGTTGTGCGTTTTGGATCTTTGTTTTAATTGWTAAAGCAAAGTTTGAATAAGGACTACAAACATTCAGAAGAAGGATTTGTAGGAGCCAAGACTCATACAACAAATAAACCTGTTTTATGATGCACATGTTCAAAAAAAGCCTAATAATGGGAGACTGCTTGTTTTTAAATGGCAGAGAAATATCAGAAAAATACAAAGAAAAGCATCAATTGTGGCATGACTGAATGAAAAAAACAAAAGCTTGGACACTAGCATAGTGAACAAGTTTTTTGACGGGGCTCCCACATTAACACAAAGCAGAAGATGAAGCATCGCTAAATATGTTTCCAAACCAACTTCATTCCAAGCCAAAGGTTAGAAAATATGACGAAGTATATCTTTCCTTTGGCTTCAACTGTACAACAAAGGATAATGAGAGACTGCCGTGTGTTGTCTGTCTTTAAATGCTAGCTTGTGACAGTTTGATGAAGCCACTGACCGTAACAAAGACTGCTTATTGACAACTCATTCACAGATGAAGACGAGATGAGGGAGGAATTGCTTTTTTGCAAACAAGTTCCCAGTAGTGCCACGGCAGAAGAACTGTTTAATACAATCGACTCTTATGAGGCCAGTCTGAAATGGGAAGACTATGTGGGGATCTGCATGGACAGGGTGCAAGCTAGGACTGACAAACAAGGAAGGTTGCGAGCGCTCATCAAGTGCATCTTCCCCAATGTGCAGTGGACACACTGCACATTATACATTGCAAAGCACTGGCATTAAACAGCTAAGCCCCAAGCTGAATGATGTAATGGCCGATGTCATCACCCCAATAAGCTACAATAAATGGTAAATGGGCTGTACTTGTATAGTGCTTTTCTATCCATCCAGGACACTCAAAGCGCTTTACACTACAATCTGTGTCCTCATTTACCCATTCACACAGCACTCTATTAGGTCTCTACAAAGCTAACATGAACAATCATCTATGGAGACTAATCAGTGCCAATCACATTCATACACTGATGGGACACACATCAGAGGCATCGGGGTTAAGCATCTTGCCCAAGGACACAACAACTGAGACAGCTGGACGRGGGATCGAACTGCGACCTTMCGGTTCCAGGACAACTGCCCTAACCACTCTGCCACAGCCGCCCCAATAAARCATGACCTCTCAAAATCTGAACATTTTTGAGCTCTGTGCGAGGGAATGGGCTCGTATCACACAGCTGTTCTGTTTCACAGTGAGTCCCGATGGTTTTTCACATGGTAAGAGCTGTCCAGGGTCTCTGAACTGCGAGATGAGATCTGTATCTTTTTGGAGGAAGAGCAAAGTGTTCTTGCCTACAAATTTATCTGTAACAAGTTCCACTCATGACACTTGCACACCTCAGTGACATGTTTCTGGAACTTAATAAATTGAATTTGCAGATGCAGAGCAAATAAATACACACCTCACACATCAGGCAGATAAAGTCACGTAATTAATCAGAAAACTTCAGATGTGCCATCAGGAAGTGAAAGATGAAAATGTGGACTCATTTCAGAACTTGAAATCATTCATTATAGCAAGCTGCAGAATACAGTGATCTTTGTTTACTTGTAAATGGAAGAAAGATTAAATGAGTTATATAGATTTTTGATTRTTTAACTGGACTTCTTGATTTTTTTCATATACACACAATAAATTGATATTTTCACAATCTCTGAGCAGACATGGCTGTGGACTAGGGCTGCAACAATGAATGGATAAAAATCGATTATTAAAAGCTTTGGCAATGTTTCATTATCGATTCGTTTTGTCGTGCGTTTTTTGTGTCCCTCACCATGTCATGGAGCCGTTTACGTCTCCTGCAGAGCGTTGTCAATGCTAGCTGACCTAAATAAACTTTGGAGAGAAAAAAACTACCTCTAAACACCCGCCCTCTCTGAGACCCTCAAGTGAAAATTAGAGACTTCAAACTTTAAACCAGTTTTTAAACTGTGTTGTTAGGCCAAGTAGATCCGAAKTTATGATACAAAGTATGTGCTACATTTATTTATTCTTAAATGACAGTCTGATTTGATGCAAGCCTCGTCGCAAGGAGGAAGCACAWCCCGTGGGGGGAAAAAAACAAAACAAGCAAGTTCAGCAACCTATTAAATTTCTGTTTTGTTATGTTTTATAGCTATAACCAAGTTTACTAATGAACGAGAAATCACCATTTTTTTTGGTGTTGTTGTTTTTTTTCCAGTCAGTGTTTAATACGGCTGGCAAAATCAATTGTGAAAATATTTATGATGTGCTTCTTTTTTAAATTTTACAAAAATCCTTCATTTTGTGAGAAGACTCTCTTGATTCAATAGAAAACTCTGGTTTTTAAGAAAATGGCTGCTTATCAGTTAATTGTTAGTCCGTCTATGAGATAAATCAATGTCAGACAATTTCACATTAATTGATAACTTGCATTCGTATTTTTTTCAGGAATTAAATTAATTTATATCTACTTATATTTATGTAATTACGTGTTTTATTGATTTGGTCAATTAATCGAAAAAATAATTGACAGATTAATTGATTATTAAAATAATCATTAATTGCAGCCCTACTATGGACCCCCCCCCATCCTGTCTGGTGCCCCCCAGGTTGACAGCACGATGGCTCACAGCAAGAAGATCCTGGGTTCAATCCCCAGTTTGGACCTGGGGTCTTTCTGTGCTGAGTTTGCATTTTCTCCTCGTGCTTCCGTGGGTTTTCTTCGGCTACTCCGATTTCCCCCACATCACAAAAACGTAAATTTTGTCAGTTTATTATCATTTCTGAGCCGTGGCACCACATCTGCAATATCAATGGGATTTGCCTGGTTAAAAAATGGTAAAATAAAAAAATAAACTATGTTCAAGAATGCAGTATATGTTTCATGTCTTCGTCTCTGTCTGTTGTCAGGTAACTTTTATGGAACACCAAAGCCTCCCTCAGAGCCAAGCCCTGTACAGCCAGACCTGGTGGACCAGGTTTTATTTGATGAAGATTTTGACACAGAGGTCCAACGAAAACGCACAACTTCATTCAGTAAGATGGACAGAATAGACAGCACAGCCCCAGARGARGAAGAAGAGGAAGAGAGACCTCCTATTGCCAACGGTGTGGGAGGTGAGATTCTTTATAGTCTTTTATTTTATTACAATTTTTAGTGCTTTCACACTTTTTTTCTTTATAATCACTGTATTTTTTATCACAATAAGAATTGGTAAAACACTTTACATTATTATTAAACCTCATCTATCTGTTCGACAAACAAATCATGTTCAGTTTTTTTACTTCCTACAAAATCAGCTTTGAACTGATCTATCTTTTAAGTGCAGATGTTTCTAAAACCTGTCTGATCCATTAGTTTGAGAATCTTTCCGCTCTTATTTYCATCCATCTATTTTCTTCTTCTTATCCGGGGGCGGGTTGCGGGGGCAGCAACCTAAACAGAGAAGCCCAGACTTCCCTCTCCCCAGCCACTTGGGCCAKCGTCTTCAGGGGAATCCCAAGGTGTTCCCAGGCCAGCCGAGAAACATAGTCCCTCCAGCATGTCCTGGGTCTTCTTCTGGGTCTCCTCCCAGTGGGACATGCCCAGAACACCTCACCAGGGAGGCGTCCAGGAGGCATCCTAACCAGATGCCCGAGCCACCTCAACTGACTCCCGTTAATGGAGGAGCAGTGGCTCTACTCTGTCTCTCCTGGATGACTGAGCTTCTCACTCTATCTCTAAGGGAGAGCCCAGACACCCTGCGGAGGAAACTCATTCCGTCCAGTTGTATCTGCGCCTGCATCACTGCAGATGCAGTACCAATCCGCCTATCGAGCTCCCACTAAATTCTTCCTTTATTCATGAACAAGACCCAGAGATACTTGAACTCCTCTACTTGGAGCAGGACATCTTTCTCGACCCGGAGAAGGCACCCTACCCTTTTCCGGCTCAAGACCATGGTCTCAGATTTGGAGGCACTGATTGTCAACCCGGCTGCTTCGCACTCAGCTGCAAACCGCTCCAGTGAGAGCTGGAGATTTTTTGATCTCATGAAGCCAATAGAACCACATAATCTGCAAAAGCAGAGAYGCGATCCTAAGGTCACCAAAATGGATCCCCTCAACACCTTGGCTGTGCCTAAAAATTCCGTCCATAAAAGTTATGAACTGCAATGTACAGAAGGGCAACATTGGCGGAGTCTAACTCTCGCTGGAATTGAGCCCGACTTACTGCCAGCAATGCAGACCAAACTCTGATACTGGTTGTAGAGTGACCTAACAGCCTGTATCAAAGGGCTTGGTACCCCATACTCCCAGAGTACCCTCCATCAGAACTTTGCAACGGACACTGTTGAATGTCTTCTCCAAGTCCACAAAACACATGTAGACTGGTTGAGCAAACTCYCATGCACCCTCCAGGACTCTGCTGAGGGTGTTGAGGTGGTCCAGTGTTGGACAAAGTAAACCACACTGCTCTTCCTGAATCCAAGATTCAACTATCCGGTGGACCCTCCTCTCCAGGACCCCTGAATAGATCTTACCAGGGTGGCTTAGGGGTGTGATCCCCCTGTAGTTGGAACACACTCTCAGGTCCCAATTTTTAAATAGACAGACCAGTGGTTCCCAACCTTTTTAGACTTGTGTACCCCCTAAGCCATTTTGTTATGCCACTAGAACCCCTTCAGTCAAACGTAATGATGATCCTCCAAAACTATAATGTACTACAACTGATTATTAAATGAAAATTATTTATTTAACATTTAATTCTCATGCATTTTATTCTTTTCAACTCAAATTAAACAAAGATAAAAATGTTGCTTTGAAAGTGAATAAGTAATTAGATAATTAAGCCAGGTAATGACAGGTACAGGAAGCAGCAGCGTCCAAAATATATTTTATTGTCCAAAATACATCAAAAACCCCAAATGAGCATATTCCGTGAGATTCCACATTTTATACTGTTTTCCATTTTGTGTCAATTTCATGATTCCGTTTTCATTTTCTGCTTTGCAGAAATCATAGGATCCTATTTTTATTCATTTTTTTACACATCTGGGAAAATTTCCCACGTACCCTGTAATATGCTCACGTACCCCAAGAGGTACATGTACCCCTGGTTGGGAATCACTGAAGTAGACCAGACCAACACCCTGATCTGCCAATCTAGGGAAACTGCCCTTGATGTCCACACAACTTTGCACAGTCGCATCAGCCAGTGCAACCCCACAGCATCCAGAGCTTTAAGGAATGCTGGGTGAATCTCATCCACCCCTAGGGCCTTGCCACCAAGGAGTTTTTTAACCACCTTGGTGACCTCAGCACTAGGGATTAGAGAGCCCAAGCCAAGGTCCCCAGGTTCTGCTTCCTCATTGGAAGACATGCTGGTGGGCTGAGTACTCTTCCCGTTGACCCACAATGTCCCAATCTGAGGTCAGCAGTGGTTTGGGTTAGGGTTACCTACCATAAACACTGTTGATGATGCATTGCTTCCAGTGTCTACCAGCGGATTCAAGGGTTAATGCCAGGACAGGAACAGACAACCTAGGGCWGGGCGATTATTTGATTGCAATTGTTGATTGAGAAAAAATTCAGGTCGATCACGGTGATCAGCTGTGAGCCTCTTTACTTGATCAAACATGGCGGAAATGTGTGCAACAACAGCCAATCAGAATCCACCTTCTCCTGCWCCACTTCCATTTAWATGTTSCTAAGGAAACRCAGATGGAATCRCAGAATTAACCAAACAAAATGTAATCCAGTATAAGATGCTGAATCTCACAGAGTTTGCTTATTTGGGCGAGTGTCTGAGGTATTTTGGCCACTGTCACTTCCTGTACCTGCCTTTACCTGCTAACAGGCAGGCGAGGTGTCCCCTCCCGACACAGAAAGGGAGGGGGAAAAAAGAAAAATGACAATCTTGCGGCCACAGCTTCGGTAAGCCGCCTCGATAATGGAGGCACGGAACATGACCCACTCAGACTCAATGTCCCCCACCTCCCCAAAAACGTGTTCAAAGCTCACCCCGGAGGTGTGAGTTGAAGCTCAGTCTGACAGGAGACTCTGCCAGACATTCCCGGCAGACCCTCGCTATACGTTTTCTTGACCAAGTTGAAGGATGGCCACTCTAAACAGACTTAGTTACACCTTTGACTGCTTTCAAATGGTGCTGCCAGACCTGCGAACTAGCAGAGCACATCTTTTTAAAGTGTCTAAGAAACATTTGTTCACTTTTTGTGACACTGTGGAGGTGAAGCTGTCTACAGGTGAAGATGAATATCAGTCCTAACTCTGCAAATCACATTGATGCAGTTTATTCTACTTTTCTCAGCATGTGGATGGTTTGGAAATGTAAAATGTACACCAAAAGCAGCAGCAGCAGCATCAGACATAAAATATCTTTATGCCCCAGAGGCATTTTGATTATGGTTGTTTCTTTTTGTAGTGCTCCATTTTTCTTCTGTGTCCTTGTCAGTTTATGAGTCCCAGATTTTCATTCATTCTCTTTGTATTTGTTTGTAAGGGTTAAATTCAGCTTTAACCTGGAGCCTTGCATTAAAT